GAAAATACATATGTATGTTATTGTCCTTATTAAAATTTCTACAACGGTATCCGCACGCATCTGCAACATTCCTAACAACTATAATAGGGAAACCACAAAAAAAAAATGTATATTAATTATTATGTAGCAAGAAATCGATCTAGCTAGGCATAATTTCTAAGAAAATTCGTTTTCTCCGAGGTTTTACGCACCCAGCAACTGACTGTGCAAAATAATTAGCAATTTCGTAAATAGTCCAATGGTTAGAGCGTTGGTCTGCCACGCCGAAGTGCGCGAGTTCGAATCCTGCAATATGGTAAAAATTTTTTGTCTTTTTTTCATTTGTCTTGAGCAGATGCTAAAAATATAAAACGAAATGGCCAATTAAGACACTCCCACCATCAGCATCGTATTAGTTTTTCTTACTGATCAAAAAAATAACAGGTTTCCTATGAGTAATTCGAAAAAATGAAATCGAAAAACATAAAAATACCCCGTTTCAACACGTACGATCGCGAATTTAAGCAAAAGGTGATACTGTACGCCGAACAGCAAAGCACAAGGGAAGCTCAGCGAAAATATGGAATACCGGAGTCGAACGTGCGACGCTGGCGTCGTTTGAGAGACACCATTTTCGCAAAAGACACCACACCAGCCGTGTCTATCATAAAAAAGAAAGACAAAAAGAAGAAACACTCGAAAAACTCGAAGAAATCGAATAAGAAATTCGCGTATCAAATCGAGAATGTGATGCTCCAAGACTACGAATTCAATAACGATAGCAGTAGCTTAGGTAGTTATTTACATCTATCGCAGGCTTACACGGCCACAGTTAGATTTTTATTACCTGTTTTATTTCTGAAATCTACCAAATATCCTAGATTTATCACGTTCCATCGATTTTTAGACTCTGTACCGTTGACTCAGAGGATAGCGTCAACAAGTTCAAGTATGACGCCAACAAACCCCGTAGAACAGCAGTTGCACAGCCAGCCGCTGTCACCCACCAAACTAAAAGTCACCCGACAAGCAACCGCGAAAACCCCCAAGTTCCAACCGATCGCTCCCAAACCCACGGAAAACATCACCATACCGCCCGCCTCCGAAGAAGTTTGTCTTAGATGGAACAGCCATCATAACAATATGCAAACTTCGTTCCCATATTTACTAAAGAGGGAACAATTCGTCGATGTCACCCTCGTAGCGGAGGGTCAAATGATTAAATGTCACAGGGTATGTTTCTTGTCTTGAGTTTTTTTTATTTTTATTAAGTTGTTATTTGCTTTTAGGTGATATTGTCGTCTTGTAGTTCCTATTTCGAAAAAATTTTGGAAAGTATAGACCACCATCAACATCCTGTCATATTTTTAAAAGACATCCCCTATTGGGTCCTGAAATCTCTAACTGAATTTATGTACGTCGGGGAAGTCAACATAGTGCAAACGAAATTGCAAGAGTTATTAGAAGCTGCAGAAATTCTAAAGGTGAGTTTGTTTGGGACACATTAATTTTACCTACGAAGATAACCTCAAATTTATAAGGTAAAATTGTTGCTGCTTTCGGGTTCGATTCCCGACGAGGAAGTGGCAGCAGAAACAATTTTTTTTAATTAATTTGAGGTTAGCTGTAATAGGTAAAGTTAATTCACTAATTTAATTCGCTTAATTTTACGTATTAATATTGTCTAAATTGTCATCGATCATAGTAAAAATAGTTCATGTCTGAACCAATAAAATTCTTCGAAGATTCTTTAAATCTGTTAGAATATTGGTTCGTTGGAGGGATTTGTTTACATGAACTAAACCAATAGCAGAAGTTTATTTAAAAATCCTTTACGACATTGGTTAGTTGCTGTTTTGTTTTTATGTACGAACGAAACCAATTGCATTGCAGTTCGAGTTGGTCAGTTATGTATTTCTCTCCTTTTTCTCAATCCACGATTACCCAAAACCAGATCATGTATCTCCTACGTCATCATCGATTTTTATTACCGACGAATAATAGCGTTCGACGGTCCCCCTACTTCTCCAGTAGTGCGAACATTGCAACTTATGTGTTTTTCCCCTTTTTCTGAATCCACTAGCAGATAAATCTCCTACTCCTTTTTCGATTTTTTATAACCGACGAATAACAGCGTTCGATGTCCCTACTTTTTCTTCACTATTTAGTGTAGTAGTAAGGGTAGAACCAATACCAGTTATCGCTTTCTTTATTGGCTGTTTACTACATGATGTGTTTTGTGTTGTTTTTACGTCTTGTATTTTTTATTTCGATTTAGATAAAAGGTTTGGCCGGCAAATCGACAACCCAAAACACGACTGCCCACAAAACGGTTTCCGAAATTCCAAAACTTTTCGAAAAAACGTCGCGACCATCGCACCCACCCGTCCTCGAACCCCAGGTGAAGCCCGTGCCGAAGCCTTTGATCGTGAAACGGGTCACCGACGAAGACAACAGACGAACGACAACCACCCCAGCGTACGTAAAACCGGCCGTGTTACCCCTCGAGCAGTTACCCATTACCGATCCCCTGGCCCTCCTCGAACCCACGTACCAGGAAGAGACGCGACGGCAAGAAGAACTACCGGCAGTCGTCAAACAACGGGAACATATCAAGACCATTCCCAAACGGACCATTGGGAAGAAACTAAGGAAACGAAAAGGACCTGAGATTGATGAGGTATGACGAGACACCTTGAATTATTGTTAATTGTTGTTATATTGCTCTCCTCTTTTTTGTATTTAGTCCCACATACCCCTTCGAATGAGAAGGGGAACGAGATCGCGTCCCAACGTGAAGATCCCGAGGTACTATCACAATTTCGAGACGCCGGTGGAGTCGGATCCCCTAATAGACACGACCAGTATCAAGTCAGAACCCATCGATGAAGATTTTGAACCGGAGGTGCAAGCAAGATCGCCGACACCGCCCCCCAGGACCATAAGACGTATCGTCCGAACGGCCGAAAACAACGAAGACGTTCTCATCACTGGAATCGAAGCAGACCGTGTGATGCTGATGACAAACAATGTCGAAACGTCCAGGGAAAAGACCATAGTTCCCTTCGTGATAACGTCTCAAGCCGAGGAAACGGCGAAAGAGAAAGGTCTCCAAGACGAAGACCCGGACATAATAGTGGAAGTGGAAGAAAGGACCGTGTCAGATGACGATGACGACGACGACGACGAGGGTGGCATTCTGGAGATTGACGAACGAGACCAAGACGGTACCATTATGGAAGAAAAACCAACCAGCGACAACCAAGAAGACGAACATGTGCTGAACGAAGAATGCGAAGATGGCACACGCGACGCGGGGATCGACATCGAAGAAACGGTCGTCCAGAACATGGACACTTCCGCCAAGAACGACAATAAAAAGCAAGAAGAAGAAAACAAACAAATCGCAAACTTACAAATAACGGACATCGTTTCGCTGAATGAAGAAGATAACAGCAAGGACGTCGTCGACAAGGTGGAATTATTGGAAGAAGTTGTCAATAAGGAATAACGGGAAGGAAAAATATTGTTCGAAGAAAAAAAGTTTCATTGAAGTTTTCACGTTAAATAAATAATAATAATAATAATAAGAGTAAAACGGCCTTGAAGGTACAACAAATATATTGAGCATGATCTGTAAATTCTTTACTGAATTCGGCCGTAAAACAATTCCGATCCTGAATCATGGGTTTCTTAAAACCAACACGATTAATAGCACATATGTTTTTGTTAGTGTAAGTATTTTTCGTTATAACAGTAATAAAATACTAAAGATGGGCTCCAGTTCTGGTAAATTTCAAGTTACTAAACCCAAAGGTATGTCGTACTGTAATAGATACTAAAAATCACCTTTGCATTTTACTGATTTTAAAAGATTAAAGAACACCGCCGCACAGTTGCAATCAAAACAACAGATGATTCATTATTATTATCATCATCATTATCATCTTACTGTAGCTTTTTAATAAGAGGTTCGTGACGAAAAAGTGAAATGGGGAAAAAGGCAGGGCCGTATCTAACTTATTTACGAGTTTCAGAATCAGATTTATTCTAACTGTAATTAATTATTAATATTAAACGTAATAAATTAAATATGTGATTATGATAATTAGGAAAGGAAAAAGTTCGTAAAGTTTTTTACGTGGTGAATATTTGGGTCAAGAACGGATTTTGAAAGTGTTCACAACCCAGTATAATAATAGTTTCTAGCAAAAATATACACTTGTCCACGAGCTATTTTTATCATTTTTTTTGCGGTGTGATTGTAGACCACAAGTTTAAGATTATTGATTATTTTCAAAAGTGATAACCTAACTTTTATCTATCAAAAATAGCAAAAAATATTTAACGAAATATAAGCAGCAAAGTGCAACATAAAATCGAGAATTAGAAACCGAAAACTTTTCCTTTAATCCAGATCCTAAACAAAACCTAATGGCTACAACCTCGTCTTCGCCCCAACACTCCTGTGCAACAGCCGAAGAATACGTTGAAGATGTCGTCTGTAAAACAACCGATTTGGTTGAAAACGAACCTAAAGTATTCGACCTAAAAGACGGTAAAGTGCTACTAATAAAACAAAATGGGCAGATAAACGCATTGGGCACGAAATGCACCCATTATGGGGCCCCATTGGAAAAAAGTGCTGTTGGTGATGGGAGACTCAGGTGCCAGTGGCATGGAGCATGTTTCAACATCNCTTGAACAGCATTTTTACCCTTTCTGTAGTAAAACAGTAAGATATGTCGAAAATGCTGCTTATCGCTCTCCATATTTAAAAGGGCACCAACCAAAAACTACTGCGTAGAATTAATTGGAATTTTTCACACACAAGCCTTGCTATATGAGCTCTCAAAGCATATAAAAATTATACGGCTTAAATGTGAAGTTCGGTGCAAAAGAATACAATTAAATCCTCTGTCGGGAAAAAACGAAATGACTTTCCGAACAACCCTATAATTTGAATAAAACACATTTCAATTAATATTTGAAAACTTTATTACAAAATTACAAAAACAATGAAGTCTTGAAGGTCATTTTATTTTTTCGGCATCAGAGTACAAAATATATTTCAAAGATTCTTTATCACATCGACGTTTGTTCACGTTACCAGTGCAGTTAAATTTTCGTGCGTGAATTTCCACTTTTGGTGCGCGTTCTTCTTGCACTGGTCAACCTTGAGCCCTTTAGAATCTTCGACGAATTGGCTACTCAGACATTTCCCCGAAAAGGGATTGTAAACGGTACCGTTTGTAAAATACATCCAAAACTGTTCCCTCTTGTGACCATGGCACTCTGTCAACTTGATCTGCGAATTATCGAACACCTCGGCGCAAAAATTCTCGCTCCTCAACTCACCCTTTGAACTCAACGTGAAAAACTGCGAGATCGCCAGATACGGATGACAAGGATAAAGTCCCAAGGGACCGACCTTGTCGTCGCCCAACTGAAGATCGTCGAGGCACATGTCGAAACGGTTCCGGACTTGTCCGAACGCCTGGGCGTTCTCGTCTGGTATAAATTTTTCGGGATAAACGTTTTGTAAATACCATTTGAACGATTTACAACGAAGTTTGTTCCTCAACTGTTTCCTATGGGTCAAGTCCCCGATTATGGGGTTGTTTTCTAACGAAGGCTGATGAAGGAAGAATAGACGTTTATAATCGTCCATCCAGACGTGTGCCAAGCGGGCAGTATTAATACCGTGAGTATCTTTTTCGAAGGAGTAGGGGTGGAAGTCCCGGAAAATGTGCCCCACTCGGGAACATGGGACCTACGAGGGAGAAAAAATGCTTCGCATCGATATACATGTAAGATTGTTTAACGTACTGTTTCGAGTCGCCCCCCGCATTGCCATATACGAAAAGACATCTCCAAATTTTCGCCGCCCCATCCCTCCATTTGTTCGTCGTACGAGCCAATCTCCCAAAAATATTTACGATCGATGGCAAAAAGACCGCCGGCCATCGTGGGCGATTTTACAGGCTTTAACGAATTTTTATCTTCGTCGTTTTGAATGTCGATCCAAGTGAAATGTCCTGCCCAATTAAAACCACCCACTTGAAAAGACTCCCCTAAAAATGTCCCATTAAACGCTAGGAATCCTTCGGTCAAATTAAATAAAAATCAGCAACAAGGATTCGTATAGGGGTTGAAAAAAAATTTATTTGCTTCAGATTTTTTCAACCCAATTGTTTTAGACAAAAGAATGACAACAATGAAACAAAACAATGTGTAGATACCATTTGTGGAATAAGCTAAATTGTTGGCTTCTATAACGTCTATAATTGGTACAAGAACTGCAGTTCTGTCCTCTTCGATCCTAGAGAGCAACGGTTCAATCCAACCCTCTGTTGCCTCACAATGAGCATCTAGAAATATTAATGCATCCCCTTTGGCTACCCTAGCACCCTGTAATCTCGCTCGAATGAGCCCCATCCGCGTTTTTAAACGCAATAGCGTTATATTATAACCGGACAATCTGGTGTTAATGTAATGTTGTAAAAGTCCATCAAGATTTTCTAAAATCAACAACAAACAAATGCAATAATAAATAGTATTAAACATTAAACTGAAATTAACTATCCATTGTCTACATATTTCCCTAAATTAATGGAAAAAAATTGTTGCTGCTGTCATTCCCTCGCCGGGAATCGAACCCTGTTTTAGAGTAGTGGTGTGTAAAACCAGGGGTCGGGGTTCGGTTCCCGGCGAGGGTGTAACAGCAGCAACAATTTTTTTCCATTAATTTTGGGTAATATGTAGAGAATGGATACTTAATTTCAGTTTAATATTAAATAATAACCTTTTTATTATATTTTCGTATATAATAATAAATAAATAAATAATTACCATCTGTACTGGCGTCATTCACCAGTATAATTTCTTTGAGCAAATGTTTAGGACTTTTTAAAATAACAGACCACACAGTCCTCAATATCACACTTAATATTTCGTTAAAAAAAATGATTATTACCGTCGCTTGCAATGTGGGAGAATAGGTGAACTGTTTACATCTGAAATTCAATTGTTTGATATCAAGTATTTATTTTGTTTGTAACTTACAATGGATTTCGTGGATCACGTAATTTACGATTTAAAGGCATTCGATCACTTAAGACAGTATTTAAGGCAAATTTGGTGAGAGCTTTATTTCCCAATTCTTTCTCTTCGCCAGCCAGATAGGCCGGACTTCCGTAATCTCCCAAACCCTGGATAATTCGCTTTTCGTAATCTCTTATCAATTTTTCGTACGCGTCCCGTTCGTGATTTTGAACGTACGCGTTTCGCACTTTTATCACATCTTCATCACGTTGCATTACAATAACGTGTAATGCCCGTACAAAAAGGTACACAATCGTAAATAAGAAAAACCCTAACAGTACTACTTTTTTATATCTCAAACATCTCAAAAACATCATAGAATTTAAAGCGATTTTTTTGGACGGATTTTCGTTAATTAATTTCCATACACTAAACTAGCAATTTAAGTATAATTCGCGTACGTATGTTACATTTTAATAATTATTGAGACCGTATTACAAACGCCAAGGTGAGAGGTTTTGAAAAAAAAAAATACTGCGCTAGGTTAACATGCTCTCTTAAATTAGAACAACGTCCTTGGTGTAAACAGTCATTCCCAATTGTTCCAGAACGCTATTAAATAATAGTAATTGGCCAAACTAAATTACAATAAACAATACAAATTGTAAGGTTAATTCCACTTAATTCTAATGACGGTAAATGTGGCTAAAGCGTCGTCTTCTACTGCAGTGTCTTCCCACGCACACTCGATTTCGAAAAACAAATGTCATCAATAATAAATTTTTTCTGATCTTAACTATAAATAAAACAATGAAATAAAAGCATCAAGTTCGGTTCGGTTAGGTTGGGTTGGGTTGAATGGGTTGGAGTGAACCTAACCAGTCACGTAAAAATATTAAGTTAGGCTTTTAGATTAGTATTAAAAAGTTGCATTTATAAAAATGCATTTTATTTTGTTTACACCAAGTTGTTGAGCTGGAATCCGTTAGCACAATTTTTTTAATCACTTTCTTTGTGTTAAAAATTGTTTGAAAAATTAAATTAAAGCAATTGTTTGTAAATAGGTATGCAACACATCGTACACTTCACCATAAGAAATTGCTGATACTAACTACGTAATACCACTTTGCCCTGTGCTGACGGCACTAATAATTTCTTTTATATATAATATTAGAGGGGTGGAAGTCCCGGAAAATGT